GGTGTCTTGCTTAGCTGGAAAACGGGAAAAGCAAAAGTGAAAAAAGGTTAGATTAATGTTTCAAAAAGGCCAGAAAGTCCAAATGGATGAGGCAGATGTCTGGAAAAATTGCTGGTTTGAGTAAAATCATCTTTATCATGAGTTGCTGTTGTTCTACATCCCATTTCCTCTGCTGGACGGGCTCAGAGAAAGAGAATGCAGGAGCTCTTGTGATTAACTAGGTTGCATTACTGAGTAGTGAGGTAGAACGTGCGTTTATCCTCAAGGGCATTTCAGGGTCTTCAGGTGCAGCCGTGTGTTAAATCTGACAAGCCACGAGAAGGAAAACCGGCTCTGAGCAAGAGCTCGACTCATAAAACCACCTCTCTGTCTTGTCATATATGGAAAGACCTGCAACTTGTGTCGAGATACAGAAACACACGAAAGAGGCACAATCTGTGTCATTAGACTGTAAGTTTTCATGGCTCAGTGGGCCAAGGAAGAGGTCGAGTAGAGAGCAGAGACCACGCTAAGTATGTCTCCTAGGCTTGAATTCCCAAAATGTTGACACAGGTCCATGTAATGGACTATAATGTTCCCTTTGAATGCAGTTGAGTGGTCCTAAAATGTCTTAAAGCAGGTCAAGGGGAAGTACGTAAAGTTATATCTTCTCTTTTGTTGTGCATTGGAACCAATAAAAGGTTAAACTAAAACCCGGCCCATGTGGTCTTTGTCTTTCCCACAACCTTTAATCTTTATTGAACAATGTGTGCAGTTTGGTTTGAGCTGCAGAACTTTGTGTATTGACCTTTCAGTCACGAGGAATTTAAGTCTTCTATTGTTAAGTTGTTAAGTATTCTGATTTGTAACTTTTCTCTTTTTGCTACATCTTGTAATTGTCCTGTCAAGTTTTTGTGGCGTCATCGTTTTATGTTATGTTATTAGTTTTTATGGTAGGCTACTTTGCAGTAAAGGATCAAAGATTACTACAAATACTGTAGTTGGCATACATCACATAAATCTATACACGTGCACAGGCAAACATGCATGCATCTATGGTGTACTTCATTTATTTATTTTACAGCTTTACACTTTTCTTCTGTCTGTTAAACTGTAATTTATTTTACTGCAGTTTCCATTATATGTTCATAAAATAAAATAGCACGAATGCAGGAAATGCAAGATCAAGAGTTTAAGGCAATGCTAGTGGCTCTGTGAGGCTGTACTTATATAAATGCTAACATCCGCATGCTAACATGCTTGTCAGTGCCTGAACTGTGATTAAGACTTTTTAAAGGTCCAGCATGTAACATTTAGAAGGATCTATTGGCAGAAATAATATAATATGTATAACTATGTTTTCATTAGTCTATAATCTCCTGAAAATAAGAATAGTTGTCTGTTTGTTACCTTAGAATGAGCCTTTTATATAGGGGAGACCGGGCCTTGTTGTCACACTTTTAACACTTTTATATATTTCTTGGAATCAATACATAAAAAAAAAAAAGTGTACCAGATGAAAGACCAAAGTCTCAGGTATATATTTTGTATTCATGTCATTTTCATATCTTGTGTCAGTGCAGAGTTATAAGCAATCAAATAGAGAGTGTGAACATGTGACATGTTGCCCCACCATCGTGTAAGTTGTCTCACTATATGGGGTAAAATGTCACATTGGATTTTGTAACTAATAAAACAAGGACAAAATTATTGTTGTTCTTTTTTACTTGAAAGTGAACATTGAAGTCAGGCACAGAAAATGTTTATCATTGAGCTTGAAAAAGCCATTGAACAAACGTTAACATAAAATATTATGCAACATGCACAGGATTAAAGTCCTTAGGAACTACTGGCACGTAGGCTATGGCTCTCAGACTCAAATGCCTTTTACCTTTCTTAAACTCAAAATTCCAGATTGAATTACAAAAAAAGAAAGCATTGGTTCATTATCAAACTTAAACCAGTCCTGAAATGTGGACATAGTTCCAGCAACAACTGGAAGATCCATTCATAAAAACTCAAACAAAACCTGACAAACAAATGGGTGCATTCTTCATGGGCCCATCCTTTGCATAATATTGTATTATATTATATATTATATTATTGTTATATTGCATAATATTATTATAATAGTGCATAATATAATAATGCACTATAATAATAAAAAATAAAAAATTGCAAGTCAATCACAATATGCGTGTGACAACTAACCCCAGAATGACTGAGACATGTTGCCCCAAACTACCATGTTCGCTAACACTAGCTCTAGCTTAAAGTTCGCTTAAAACAGAACAATGACTGAGGTATGACAGGATGCCTTAATCTCTCCTCTAACAAGTCCACATGTATCACTGTTAGGACTTTTATCTGAACGAAGCTTATTTTGAAATATATAAAGTTGATATTTTTTACTTTGGGTTGTGCAAAATGGTTATTTGGTGCTCATCTCAGCTCACAATGTGCTACCTGTGTGACAACAAGCCCAGGTCTCCCCTATACAGATGCCAGGGTCGCCTTTCATTGAAACAGCCATGTGTAACCACTCCATTTCTACAGTACCTCGGAAGGGACAAACTGAGTCAGGAAGTTTTACTTTAAAAAATAAAATAATGCATTTGCAGAGCTGATAATTGATGTAGATGACGAGTGAGCTATCCTGTTTTCTTCTCATTAAAGTTTCACATGCGCAGTACCAATTACAATGTTACCATGTTCACCTTTTTAAGTTTAGCATGTTAACATCATAATATTTGCTAATTAGCACCAACATAAAGTGAAGCTGAAGATTTTGCAGGTATTTGGTAACAACCTTATGAAAGTTTTTGAACATAAAGTAGTGGACAAGTTGAAAATTTTACCTGACAATGGTGCTTGATGAAATTATATATTTTTTAACTTTTCATGTAGCTAACCATGATAAAATGATTGCAATAAATTCTAAGGGGGCCTTGAATCTGTGTGCCATTGTCATGGCAATTGGTCCAACAGTTTTAGAGACATTTCACTCAAAACCACCTATGTGAACCTCATGGTGGCGCTAGAGGAAAAGTCAGAGGATCACCAGAGTCAACAGAATTTACCCTCAGGGAAATATGGATATCTGCACCAATTCCCCTGGTGATCCATCCAACCGTTATTGAGATATTTCAGTGGTGGACCAACCCGACCAACATTGCCATCCACAGAGCCCTGCCGCTAGCATGGCTAAAAAGGCATGACATCCAGTGTTTCAGGGTCCCTGTTGTGATTAAATTAATTATTTCCGTGGGATTGCAATGGAAATCACTGCGGCCTATAGGTCACATTTCACTTTTCAAAGGTGGAGTGGACCTGGATGCAAAGGTCAGCTGTCAGAAAGCCTTTATCCTCTCAAACCAACTGGTGGCCTGTTTGACCATGACTGACTGCAGTGGACTACGCTGAGACTTGAACTGTATGTGCTGCAGAAAACGCACAAACCATAACCAGTGCACTAAAGATAAAGAGTTGATGTTATCCCCCCCTTTTATATATACCCTATATACCCTTTTTATATGTTTCTAAATGGTGGAGAAACGTGAGGTTTTTTTTGTGTTTCACTCACATTTTTACTGCAACCCCCTTAGTATCCACTGCTGTATTATTAAAAAAAACTAAAATCTCATGCTTCCTTCTTTGTTTATGATAAGACATTATTGACTCTTGAGAGAATGCTGCATATTGAAGCAAAGGCCAAATATTGACTTGAGATAATCCTGTGAAAAGAAAAGCACATACCACTCTGATGTACATAAGTCTGCTTTAACAAACGGGTGGAAGCTGGATAATTCAGTTTCACAACAGTACAGTAAGGGAGAGGTAAAAATAACTGCATCCAAATATAGAACAACATTTGAACTTCCTCTCAAATTCCTGCCATTGCTATCATCATAGCCATTTTGCCTCTTTCCCACTGCCCCCCCCAACGAGGTCCTTGTCACTCTGCACATCCGTGCAACTGTGCCCAGCATCTGTCTTCCTTGTCATATTAAGTAAACTGACGCTTTGGCAACACCCCAAAATAAAAATGATGGTAGTCGAGAGGGGGGAATGAAGAAGTGAGAACGGGAAGGAACCTAGACGTGGCCCCGGCTGCACTCCACTGCTGAAATAATTAGCCCCTGGTTGATGTGGACTCCTCGTGGGACTCCACCGTGACATGTTCAAATGAGTATTGGCAGTGTGCGACACCAGCTGTGGGCCTCCTACAGGGAGCTGCTGTACTGTGCAGCGCCCTGCCCACTGAACAGCACGGCACAAAGCCTTTAAACTCTGTAGAGCAAGCGCGGCAGCCTTGAGCTTGTTTTACAGCTCCAAGAGTTTAAAGGAAACAACTGTTAAATGTGACATCTGAACTTGTTATGTCAGGTGTCTCAGGCGGAGAAGTGCTACTAACTCTCCACCACGCACACATCTATGCACACCCAAATCTGTGAGCCTGAGGCACAGATGGGAGCACAGCCCAAGGGGTTCAGACATGAGGAGGTATGGGTGGGAGGGGGGGCACCGGGGATTATTCAGGCCCATGCTGCAGTAGGAAATGCAAGTTGCAACCACACCCGTGTCAATTAGAATAAACCAGGCATTGTGTGGAATTCCCACTGTAACCAGGGCACCAATTTGGCAACCCCTGGTGGGAGGGAGCAGGACTGGCAACCCACCGAATCCAAGATGGGGACTACCACACCCAAAGTTATCTTTGCTTAGTAATTGCACTTTTAAAACAGTAAATTAGCTTACAGCCAGTCACCAAGACGTCAGTTATCGTGACTGTTTTTATCCCAAAAAACTTTATTTTGGGACTATTCTCAGTGCAAAAACATGATGATATAGATATTTTTAGTTGTATTATTAATAGACACTATTTTAATTGGATATTATATATCACCTGATGAAACAAAGCCTTCAGAGCAGACAGTACAGAGGGTGTATAAACAGCTGCTCAATAGCCCCTCCTTGTGGTAAAATAAATATAGGGAACATAAAATCAACACTAGGAGGAATAAAAGCTTGAATGCAATCTTTATTAGAATTGTTATTGCAATATTTAATGGAACAATTATAAATATATATAAGTATAATTGACATAACATAAAAATGGCACAGAAATAGTCATACTTAGTTAATATTAATCTGAAAGCAAAAGTACAAAACCAGAAACTGTGTCATGTGTTGAAGATGCAGGAAGGAATAAAGTTTGGGATGTGTCATTTGCAGTGTCAGAGGTATTCTACTAGACGCGTGTAGAAGTGTAAGACAAGTGCAAGTTGAGGGGAACGTGTCAGTGTCAGTGTGTGCAGATGCTTTGGGTCGCATCTTCAGTTCCTCACAGGCGTGCTGTTTCCTTTGGCCGTCTTCTTCAGGTGGTGATAGTTGGGCAGGATCTTCATGAGGAAGTCGAGCTGCAGAGTCTGAGGCTACAAGATGGGAAACAACAACAACAACAACAAAACATCCCTGGTTACAGCAAAAAACGTTGTGACTCACAGCCAAAGACGGGCATGGGCGTCGACTGACCTGTGGTTTTTCACTCTGCACACGCCGGATGCAGTTTGAACCGTACACGACCGTGTTCTCCGGCACGACCTCACACGTGTTGACCTGGCAGCACGCGCCGACGATGCATCCGCTGGTCAGGATCACGTTTCTCCCGAGATCAGCTGGGATTTAACATTAGCAAACATATTGTATCTACACTATGGGAATATGGAAATAAGGGTTATAGAACAATATGATAATATTCACTGTGAGATTATATAAAATGATCCACTCTGCCGGACTGTTATACCTTCAGTATTTCTGGGTAATTTACACCATTGTGTGCGATGTTGTAAATGAATGAGCAGCGGTTTTATAACAATACTGTATTTGTATCTGTTTTTTACATCAATGTGATGACGTACCTTCATTAGAGTATTAAATGTGCTGTATTAGCCAATAACAACCATTCCTTACTGCTTATTTCCTCAACAAAAGGCATCTCAATTTGATCTACTATATCATGATAGATATCCTTACTGAGGTATGAAATGTATATATCATAATAGAAGATCTGATCCGTGTTGCACACTCCTAATAGGAATACAGTGAGTGATTACAATACTTACCTTTAGACTCAATCACATTGTTGTCTCCAATTTTCAAAGCTTGAGAGACTGTAGCAGCATTGTTGAGGATTTAAACCTAAGAATTAGCATTTCAAAACAGTTAATAGTCAACTATAAGTGATGGCTGATATTTATTAGATCAGTGGGACATTTTACTGCTTAAATAATCTAAACAGTGCTCTCTGGTGGACAATCTATACAGTGGCAACACTATTTCCACTCATCTTTGGTATTTATGAAGACATTTCTTACTCATTGGCTGTTGTGAATCCAGATATAGCTGCAATAATAGGCTGCAAAGTTAGTAAGACTGCAGTCACAGTGTGTGTTCTCACTTGCTTTGTAAAGGATACCACATCCAACCTCGAACACATTATTGGTGCCTATTATCATGGTTTTTGGCTCAACTCCCTCTGTGTCCGGCATGATGTTCTCTGGATAACTTAAGGGAAAAAAACACACACAGGTAAGATAAGGTGAAAGTGCAATGATACAATAGGGACATTATGTTGTAATACACTGTACCTGTTAATAATAAGCGCCTGCTCCTCTATTAGATTGCCCTCTCCAATGATAATAGGGCCTGCCTCTGCTATGATCCGTGCTTTGGGGTGGACTACTGTTCTAGAACCTGTATAAAAAATAAAAATAAAGTCTTATTTTATGAAAGCATGCAGCAGCTGGATTAAAAAACAACCTAAATGTATTAAAATGGCGCTGATAGTGAGGTTAAAGGGAAATTCTCACCAATGGTCACATCTCCTCTCATTTCACTCTCAACACACACGACAGCTCCAGCTGCTATTTTAGCACTGCAAGAACACACACATACTGTTATATTCAAATCAGTCAATTACACAATAAACATACTGTTACTGTGTCAGAAATTAAAAGTATCTCCATTATAAGCCGAGCTGTAAATATGGATGTCGCCATGGGTAGAATAATTAAAAGATGAAGCGATTTTTTTTTTTTTTTTATCCCCTAAAAGCTAAAATAGTTGATAAAAGATCTCATGATATAAAAGGGTGACGCTGATCAAATGTAGATATCTACCTTTTCTGTGCCATGATTTGCTTGGCGTCTGACATCCTTGCGATGATGAATAAATGTATCGATGTTCGATTATTAATCCTGGTTCGGGATTGGAGCTCAGGGGTTGATTGGGTTTGTCTGGAGACAGCCAGCCTGAGACTTTGCTGCCCTCTGCTGTAGTTTTAAGGATACTGCAATGAAAACTAACCTATTTAACTTATAGGACAAATTATATTTATAAATTACACATAAGCTTACCTTTTATCTAGCTACAAGTCCTTTATATTTTCATTAATATTCATGATTATATAAACTATAATATTCTTCCATTTATATTCTTTTTCACTACAAAAAAGGTTACCTAATTATTTTAAAAATGAAATAAATAAAGCCTTAAATATACAGCTTATAGAAAAGCCATAATTTCTTGACACTTCTCCTCAAAATGTCAAAAAGACTTTTGTCTTTTCCAATGGTGCAATATAACATATACACAATATATATTATATAGTGCTACTTAAGTACAAATGTGAGGTACTTACTTGAGTATCTTCTTTTCATGCTTTATACTTCTACCCTACTCCATTTCAGAGGGAAATTTACTTTTTACTAGTGACTTTACATATTAAGACTTTTACATAATACGCGAGGAGCTGATACAGCTGAGACGATTAGTCAGTTAATCAATTGGACAATGGACTAATGAAACTATTCTGATAATCCTTTTAGTCATTTTTTATGCAAAAACATTTCATGGTTCCAACTTTACAAATGTAAGAATTTGCTGTTTTTTCTTTTAGATTTTTTAATAAATCTTATTTATTGCATTGTGAAGGTATCACTTTGGGCTCTGGGTGATGGAATATTTCACCATTTTCTGATTTTTTTTACAAACCAAACAACTAATCGATTAATTGAGAAGACAATGAGCCAATTAATCCATAATGAAAATAATCATTGGTTGCAGTCCTATACAAATGACTTCATATAAGCTCCACCCCAACCAACTATAACAGTAAAATCCTGCTTTTACATCAATTAATAACCCAAAGATGTAATATATAATAGTATAACAGTCACAGGGGGCATTTTTCTGCATTTACCACTTTTTTCTTTTCACTACAGTTTCTTGATTATACGTACATACTTCTACTTAAGTAACATTACCAATCAAGGCAAACAATTTAAAGCAGACCTGCAATTCATTCTCTGACCAGCATCAGTTTATACATAAATAAAAACTACATATTTACTCTTACTGCAGTGTCACCCTGTCCCCTGCAGGGTGCAACAGCGACCAATAAAGCAGTTCAAATGTAATGTATGTGCTCTTAGAGGAAATATACCGCTTTAATATTCCTCTGCAGATCTATATGTACATTTCTCGTGGCAGTAGTTTAACATTTATTTAGTTTATTTTCGTTTAATGATGATCATTGTTGGCATCTAAAAGCCTTACGGTCTAGTTTGAAACAGTGAGTCAGAGAGAGCTTTTTAAGAGTGACTTCTGCTGCTGCAGATTCTGGTCGCATACTCTCGTTTTAAACAGTGTTTAACCAATATGTGCACTGCTGAATGGGGGTTGAATTGTGTCAAATACACCAGATTTCACTATGATAAAACAGGAAATTACACGATGCCCCGTTTTCAGAATAAAATGCATACGTGAGTGACAAAAAACACAACAGAGTCACTTTCTTTGTAAAATAATATAATTTTAACAGAATATAACTAACTGGAGTTCATTTCAGTCAGAGTAAATGGAAACACCTGTGTACGTGTACTGTAGGGGGGTTTAAAACCAGTTATGGAACAGGCATTTAGGTAAGTAGTAATACTAAAATTTTAAAATTCTCTGTTACAAGTAAAAGTCCTACATTCAAAATGTTACTTAAAGTAAAACGTATTAGCATTAAAGTATTCCTACCAAAAGCACTCATTATGCACAATACTGCATTTCAGAATCATATATATTATATTGCTGAATTATAATTACTGATGCTTTGTGCCTTATTACTTAATATACTACTAGGTACTTAAATCTATAATAACACATCATCAGTAAAACGTAGGGCTGCGAGACAAGGTAAAATTACATTGCGACTATTTAAAAAAAAAAGATTCATGATTAGTGGGAATGATAATTTTTGTCATCAAAAAAAAAAAAAAAACTTAAAGTTGTGATGATGTGATATGTGTTAAGGTCTGTACCACAAACAAAACAAAAATGTTTTCATACATATGGAGAACAATATTTGTTAGCCAGGTAGTCTTTACAGCACTAGAGTACTTTATTATAATGCTGTTTTGACACATTTCATCTTTATCAAGAAAACTGCAGCGTCTTGCTATTTGGATATTGCACTTATATTATTGCATGTTACGATTTGTATAATAATGCAATTAATGGTGCAGCCCTACAAAAAGTACCTTAAAACTTTACTTCACTTATTCCACCACTGTTTAAAACAAAAACATCCCATTTTTTTTATTAAAAAAATATATAGTAGAAATGCACGCGTATGCACAGACCTTTATTTTGAAATCCAGCAGCGGAAGTGTGATTGGCCACCCTGTGCGACTTGACGGCTGGTTGAGTTTTTGAAGGGGAGCGACTCGTCTCATCTGCTCCTCGAAGGAAAAGTGAGCCGCGGGCTGGAGCCCACCTGAGCCCTCGTATCTTAATTAGACCGCAGCCTGTTTGAACTCTCGTCACGGTCCACAATACGGCTTAAAACATATCTCGAAAGTGCTGTTTATAAATGTAGATTAAAATAAAATATCACTCGTCTCAAACATTGGATTTTTCCTCTTTTTTTTTTTTTTTTCTGAATGGGAGCGAATCAGAAGAAGTACTGCTAGCCTCGCGCCGCTCGGCTCAATCTCGTGCGTTTCAGCTCGTGTCAACTTTGTGGAAATATGTAACAGTGAGAAATGAGACTGTAACATGGAGCAGTCGGCTACTCTCGACATAGAGACGCTGAAGGTAAGCTAACAACGGTGTTTTGTGTCATTTAAGTTTCAGCGGTGGAATTTGGAGCAATAGTTTGACACTTCACATCTCATTATGCAACAGGAAAGTGAGTTTTATTAGCCTAGCCTTCACAGGGACGGCGGGAAACTTGATGTGGCTCGTTATGAATGATTTATCTAGCTTTTTGGTGTTTTATTCAGCAGTCCACACTTCTCGTGAGCCCTCCCTGCAACAGGTGCACTTCAATTGTTCCATTAAAAAATCCCAGCTAATTAAAGATGAATGTGAAGTGTCTGCTCACAGTTTGTCATCCAGTGCCCCCCCCCCTCTCCAAAGCAGGAACATGATGATTAATAACCAGTAACCAGGCACCCCAGGAAGCCTGCCCGGAGAGTTCTTTACATACAATGTCATCTCCCATCTCGCCACTGTACCGCACATTATATGCATCCCCCCCTCTTGAAGAAATCACAGTAATGTGACAGCCTATGAATATTCTGCCTGCATGGTTTCTCATTATCATTCCAGTCTAGCAGGGGGAGGCAGTAACCTCTGGGTACAGTATGTGCGTCTCGTCTCCCTGCTGCAGTGCAAAAAATAAATAAATAAAAAATAAAATAAAAAAAGGCAGCCCGGTGTGTCAGAAACCCTCACAGCAGAGCCACTGTTTGGCTGTGCACTCAGGTCCATCCATTGGTCTGCTGCACACACGCGCGCACACACACACACACACACACACAGAGACACAGCTCTGGGCTTAGTGGTTGGGGTCACGCTTATCAGTCAAGAAATCACCCCTGCTCACACTGGCTCACAGCTGATCCAGCACTTCCTACTTTGTGACAAGTCTGCAAGTTGAAGCTAATTTGTCATGTTTAATGTTTGTTTTTTTTTAATCCCAGGAAGGTGAGAATCCGCTATCTCCTCTAATTAAAACAAGAGGTTGTTTTTTTTGTTTTAGACTCCTTCGTGACATTATTTTTGTTGATAGTGCTGCGTTCAGTCTGGCACTTCCCGTGTGCGTTCGACTGATGAATGCAAATGACGCCTATGGGGTGCTGTCCAAAATGGCCCCGTTGGCTCTCCAAGGATTTGTTAGGGATTAGCAAGGAAAGCTAGTGTGCTGTGGAGAAGTGTCTGTCTGTTTACATCAGCAGTTTGTCCTTTTCTCCCCCGTTGCCAGAGACATCATCAACGGCGAGGAAGGAACTGACGGGGCAGACTTTAAAACAAAACCAGCTCTCAGCATTAATAAACGATGCAAAGGTCAGAGGTGCGGCGTGCCAGCGAGCTTGCAGAGTACAAATATTTTCCATGAAAGCGTCATCAAAAAGAGCGTGTAACAGCAAGAGGAAATTCTCCCTGAAAAACCCCCGTCTTCAAACGCTCTGTGATGTTCAGTCTTGTTGGCTGTGTGCTCTGATTGAACAGCTGCGACCTTTCCTTGGTCTTATTGGAGATCTTTGATCCCCGCCGTGCCCCGTACATACGGCGCGGTTACCTTGTTGCTTTCGGTGGAAGGAAGTGCGGTGCCATCCATCCACAAAGGGCAACCCCACAGCGAACAAAGCCATCAACGAGCTCCGCCGCTATTCTAACTCCACCAGAGATGATGGAAAATTGGATTTCACATTTAAGTGGAGCGGCTATTGTCAGCAGCAGCCTCGCCAACATGCTCGATTGTCACGTCAACGAAATGTGAAATGGTTGCATCAATGCATTGACTTGCACATTTGAGAAATATACTTTGGCTTCCCCAGTTTCAGCCGCGCACTCAGCCTCCTCTGTCTCCTTGATTGGGCTCTCTGTCAAACTAAAAAGCCCACAATAGCTAAATGAATAGGTGCTTTGATACTGTATATCAGACTTTCAACATGATGTGTGCATCCCTTTCCCCTAGTTGCTGCCTCAGCAATTGGGCAGCGTTGGCATGCAGGATGGACGAGTACAAGCTTTCTCAGTCATTAGTGCATTTCAATTGTTTTCTTACCTCCAGCTGAGGAGGCCCTGTGGGGCCCTCGTGCCACCGCCAAGCGAGAAAGCGCTCGGCGATTTGCTGATTAACAGTATCGAGCGTTAATAACGTCTAATTTTCTTTCATTAGGGACTTCTCAGCTGCATTTTGCTGCCTCTGCCGCATGTCACTGTTTGATCAAAACAGCATGAAGAATATCACCCTCAACGCTAATTGGTGAAGATGAGGCGTGCTGGCGGTGGGAAGGGACTGCTGGGTAATTGCTGGCCTTGGCTGGATCCAGCTGCAACGTCTGTAGTCAAAGCTCTGAGGACCCCCTTAGTCCCACCCCCCTACAAAAAGGGAAAGTGACATAGATCGCAGCACTAACTTGAAAGGGTTTGATAAAGTAGCATATGCATAGATAAATATGGTCGTGCAACTAATCCACAAGGACTTTTACAGCGCAGCACATGATCTGCAGTTTTTATAGTTTATTGTACCTTTTAGAGAGGCAAGTTACTGTGTAGGTGTTTTCTATTAATAGAAACTACATGTAATCGCTGTAGGTGGTAAACCATCTGTAGCTTTCAGTAGATTTCAGACCCATCTGTTCGTGATAATCTGCTGGCATTTGTCTCGAGCTGCGTACTAGAACAGATATTGATTTAATTTTTTTTTTCAACATAGGTGGAGCTCCACAACTGTGCCTAAACAAACCTTTTTGGAATACAGACACTTTCACTGGAAAAAAGTGTTCTCATCTTGGTTGAGTGGGGAAAGAAACCGGTCTTCAGACTTTCTATGAAGTTCTGAGCATTGAATTAGTCCCATTCTTGTAATTGTCCACTCATTCATGTGGTTGTTGTCACCAGGATCATTTACGTTATTTAAGCTTAATTCATTGTTTTCAGCCCCCGGAGTGCAAAACACTATAACTCTGAATCACAAGCATTGGACTAAATTAACCAAATACTTAACATACGTTGACATTTAATGAGTTTACTTGAAGGGTTAGTTTAAATTTGTTTAAGTTGGATTGTACGAAGTTCTTATCCATAGTCGGTGTATAGATGGCAGTCAGTTCGCCCTCAGTGCTGACCGCCATCTACTGCAGGTGAACTTTGTACAACCGCACTTCAAAAAATCTGAACTAACCCTTTAAAAAGTAGAATGCCTAGTACTAGCTTAGTACTAAACGTTACAGTACGTAACAGGATATAGGACATATTTTTAAAAAGAAAAGCAATTTACTAACTAAATACAGGTTATTAATTAGTATTGACTTTTAAAACATGGCTTTATTTTCACATTATAAGTTGTTAAGAAACACACAGTTTTTCTTCCAAAGTAAAACTTATGTTGTGTGAAAGATCTGTAATTTATATTTAAAGAAAAGTGACTGTGAATGTAATGCATAATGCAGCAGTGATGTACTCCATTCTTTCTTTCAGCGTGTATTTTGTGTTTAATCCTTTTTTTGGCTCATGAATGGCAAGGTGAAAACAAAAAAAAGCAAATATCTACTCCGTTATTTGGTGTGTGAAGACGTATTAAATGATGTTAGACGTCCACCTGATCTCATGATAACACTTCTGAATATTTTAGCAATATGCATGGGGACACAGTCATATTGTAAGATGAAAATGGAGCATCTGCAGCCGGCAGCAGGCAACCCAGACGCAGGAAATGGGGTGATGGACGACTCGCCAACCCAAGTGCAGTTTTTTTTTTTTTTTGAGTTTACGTGCAGTTCAGTTGAAGTTGGAGAGCATTTTATCCTCTTGGAGTGTTTCATGTGAGTAATATTTAAACTATACAGTTTTACAACCACAAACAAAATTAGGAAAAATTGCTAACTTCAATTTAATCCTATGTTTTAGAATTTTGGTTTTCCTATATCCTGCCCAGTTAATCAGCTTGTGATCCCTTAAATGTCAACCTGTGACTCCTTGTGGCGGTCCCACCACCAGGTTGGGTACCACTGGGCCAGACAATATAACCCGTCCTTTCTTGTAATGGCTCATTTCTTATTTGTTTGTCCAAATTGAGCAATAATCTGACCATGTCAAGACTTGGTATCCTCACAGTTTATTGAAAATTCTATGAATAAATAAGTATGGTAAGAGATTTCTACTTATTTATTGTTTGGCTCAGTTGTATCAGAGTTGCCATGTGTCCATCTGTCCCTGCAGTGACCTTTTAACTGACCGCTGCTCCTAATTTCTAATTATTATCAGGGCCGTTTGTGTAGTCACTCTGCTGCTTAACAATTCTTCTGCATAAAGTTGTTAATTGTCACACCTACTGAAGCAGACACTAACTGATAAATGGGATTCAGTGTGACGTGCCTGCACAGCTTGCTGTGTAATCAATATTTTGTTTCTCAAAAGTCAAAGTTGTTTCCCGCCGCAGTCGCACATCTCAATCAGTCCGGTCCAGCGTGTTTGTGAGAGTCAGCTGTGACCGGCATGCTGAAATGACAGATTGACAAAACGCCAGCCGCTATGCACTCCTCCATTTGCTCTGTGAATAACCGAGCTTTAGGAGGCATGACTCGACCGGGGGTAATATATGCATTAAAACTCTTGCAAAAATCACAGGATCCACTAGCGTTGGGAACAGTGGGTTGCCATAGAAATTACAAGTGCTGAAGTTTCCCCTAGCAACAGTGGATTGAAAATAGACTGAATCTGTCCAGCAGGGGTATGGCTGTAGGCAAAAAGAGTGGTTTGAAACAGTTTTTTTTCTTGGTGTTATTTCAATGTTTGTAGACTTTTCTTGAGTGTCTTGGATTCACGTTCAAGTGCGAGGATGTTTAGAATTGTCTCGAAGATGATCTGTGGTAGCTCAGTGTGTGGTTTTTACTGAATGTTGTGTGTAAGGCATCTTCCAATGTAGTGCAAAGTTGTCGTTGTAATAAAAGAGAGTCTCCTGTGACACTACATTTTATTTGGAGTTTATATTCAGCCTTTGTGTAAGCACCTCTCATAGTACTCTTGTCCCTCAGCTGTATCGCTGGTTAAATTGGAATCACTGACATTTCTAGGCCAGCGATATGGGTCATTTGTATTTGCTGCAAAGTCGCAACATCCATTTGTGAGACATCTGCCGCCACTGACCTAAACTGCTCGTCCAAGGAAACAGGCACTTAAACAGTGGATCAAGTTGAGAGGCAGTGGTAAAGCTGTGGAAGACTGTTGTTAGATGCCATGTTTGAAGTGCTTTACCATTTGTTGTTGTTGTTGTTGTTCCGGTTTAGGGATTGTCCAATCTTAATGTCATGGTACAGATTTGGAGATCAGTGTGAAGGCACATACATGTATTTTTGTGGCTTTGTAAAATTTTGAATTGCATAATTTCACGTAATAGGCCAGTAAAATGCTTGACCGTTGACCACCTCATTTGAGTAATTGTTTGTATGCACAGGCTCAATACAGTTTACCAGATTCCAACCAACTATCCAAAACCCAAAGATATTCAGTCTGCTATCACATGTGGCAGCAAATCGTCTGACTCTTTTGCTTGTATTAATTATTGAACAATTCATCAATAATCAGTTTCAGCTCTAGATGGCTCTATGTAAAGTAAAGCTGTAACAATTAGTTGTATAATCAATTAGTAAATCAACAGAAAATGAATTGGCATCTGTTGTGATAACGGCTGGCTGGTTTCAGCTTCTCAGATGTGAAAATCTGCTGCTTCCTTGGTCTCAGATTGTGTGAAATTTAGTCGATTTTTAGTTTCATGGACTCATTTAATAATATCTGAAAAAGCAGGTGTTTCTATAATGCCTATTTCTGGCACCAGCGCTTTACCAGCTGATACACCACACACTGCCTGCTGCACTCTGACTGTGGTTAATAAACACACACAAAAAAAACCCCATCAACTTGTATTAGAGATATTGATTTATTGCAACAACAATGAGCAGCATCACCGGCTGATTCTGCGTCCTGGTTGTTAAAACAGACACTTTCTGTAGCATTCCTCCTTCTGTAAGTTGACAGCAGCCACATCTGAACCAATGAGGTAAAGAGGAGCCCCGGGTGCAGATTCTTCCTCTGCTTAAACCTTTGTCAAGTAATTCAGTCCCTCTTAGGAAAGAGTTGTTAGCTTTCTGAACTAAAGAGCCTTTGCTTGCTCTGCCGCGGTTAATGAGAGCCTGTCAGGAAAACATACAATCTAATGATACCTGCCATTGGTGTCTTATGCTAATGATGTGCTGAGTGTGAATAAAGCATGTGGGGCATGGGTTCTGAGTTGAGTTATGCATGCATTACTCCTCTGGGTATTACCGTGCACAGGTGTGTCAATTATAGAGGTGTGTTTCATGCAATTGAAGTATTTTATACCGGCAGGATGAATTAATTGTTGCTGCTTGGATGTGGGAGCAACTTTTTAAGAGATCTTTTGATATAATTGGACATTCTGCTGCTGGACATTTTATTTTGGTTTCTACGAGCTTTTTTTTCATTATCTATGCAAGAGAGTGGGATGGCAGGCGGCCTCAGTACGAAGTAGGGAGTTTCACACTGTCAGCCCCGCAGTCACGATCGGCTGGAGAACAGCAACTGCTCGCCTTCGCCCGGACGACCACACTTGACAGACATCATCCTCTCTGATCCCAGATCAGAGCTTGCATGTAGCAGCTTCCAAGTCGCTGGCAGGCACTCAGTTACTCAGCCAGAGTGGAGAACATTTCTCTGGCACCAAATTGATCCTTTGTCTCATAATCCACCTCCCGTTTTCTTTAGTGCTGAGAGCAAGAAGAGTAGCCGGTAATGAGTTGTTAATGTGAAATTTCATGCTGGACTTTTAAAGATGGACTGACTCCCTGTGGCAACCGCCTCTTTTGGTTCCATAGCTTCTGCTGGACATGGCTCCATAAAGCCTGCCTAGTGCAGGTGGCACATGAAATATTTCCTGTGGAAGATTGATGGCAAGTAACATTATAAAGATCTCAGCCAGGCGGGAACGGTAAACAGGAAGCTGTCACTCATGGGGACTTTGTTTGTGAATACAGGGATCCAGCTTGACAAAATGTCAACAAGTAATTAACATTGTAAACAAAGCTGTGACATGTTATTAAATTCATAGAAAATAATTTTCACTGTAAAGTAGAGAAATACAAGCAGAAATGGCAATCATGTTCCATCAATCGCTATGATAAGTTCATTAGTATCTAGATTCGGCTCCAGATTTCTGTTTATTGATTCAACAAAGAATTGTAAATGTTAAAAAAAAAAAAATGTAAAAGAGCTTTTCCACTTCTGGGCTAGGTATTCCCACAACTGATGCAACTTGTAATCGCTGAATCTTGAGTGATGATTCCCCTTTCCTGCAGTGGAATGAAACATGCCGCCTTTTAGGTTTGGGCACTCTGATTTGGCTTAATCTTTTAATAAAATAAATTCACCCAAATGACCTTGTCTTTTAGGCACAGAGCTTGATGAATTACTCTGCCACTGGTTCCATTTCTGAAGGTGCGTAGGACTGCTGTATGGAGGTAAAAATTGCAAACCATGGAAAATAGCAATTTTTCCCAAAATAAATCTGTAAACCCTCATTCAAAATTTTTAAAATCTGATTCTAGTGTATTACAGATCGAAAATACCCCCTTCTCCACTTAAATTACCAAGCGTGATCGTTAAGACTGTAATAATACTCAGTCTTATATTCACGCCATGCTTTCACCTTTTATTCTTTATGTAGTGGCACCACTTTCAAAAATTGTACACAGCCATGCCTCAGCCCAGAGTCATTTTTAGTGGTGCTTGCAAGGTAATAACCACTTACAATATGTGATTGCTTCTGTGGAGTGAAAATTTTCTTGACAGCCAGCTAACATAAAGACTCCTGCGTGCGTGTGTGTTTGTTTGTTTGTTTTTCCAGATTACCCAGGAGCAGTTTATCCTCGCGTCCCAGTCCCTGCACCTCCAGCGACCAGGCTGCGATGCCGTGTACCCAGTGGGTCTGTACGGCTGGAGGAAAAGATGCCTCTATTTCTTTCTGCTGCTGCTCTTGGTCACCATGATAGTGAACCTGGCCCTCACTGTCTGGATCATAAAGGTCATGAATTTCTCAGTGGTGAGTTACAGCATCGTCCAAAATAACTTCTCAATTAATTATAAGTTATGAAATATCATTAATTCTGAGACAACAATTGTTTAAGCTGTACCCAGTTTATGAATGACTTTCCTGGAAAAAGCTCCGCTGTAGTACTGAATTAATGTCAGAAAACTGCAAAATATGCCCACTGAAATTTCCCAAAGCCAAAGGAAATGTCTTCAAATTGCTCATTTGGTTTTACTAACCATCTATAACCCAAAGATATTACATTTAAAAGAAAAAGAGAGCGAGAGAAGCAGCAAGTCCTTGTGCAGCTTGTGACTGGCATTTCTGCTTGATACATGATTTTCAGTGTGTTTAGGAGGATCTAGTGGCATAAATGGAATATAAGGTTCATATTACTTATATACATATACTTTTATATCTGCAGATGCTGCGGGTTGCATGTTCCATGGATTCCGCTATATTAAACTGCCATGTTAGTACAATAGCCCAGAAGGGACAAACCAAACACTGGCTCTAGATAGGGCTTCTCCTTCACGTGTGTGAAGTGAGGAAGTTGCGATCTGCAATTACACGCTAAATGCCACTAAATCCTACATACTGGAGCTTTTAAACCCTCAGTTAATGATTTTTTAGGTTAAATAAAAGAACAATTGGGTAGTAAGCATGGGAAGCAGTAGCTTGGATGGCTGGATGAAGAAAAGTGCACACAGTACAGAAACGATTAAGAAGATAACATTTTAAAGAGATTTTTGGTGGGTAATATTATGACGCATAATGATTAGTTTGGTAATTCTGACTAAAGTCTTTACAAACACATCAAAAAGACTTATAGACTGCTCTTACATAACATTTATTAAAATACAATCATAAGCTCAGAAATTAAATTTGGAAATGTGTTTGGAGATCAGAAAATTAAAACCGTAAGTACTTGGCATCAAGTGCACAGCAAGGCTTAATATCAAATGAAATGCTACGAGAGAAAAACAATTAGTCTCATACTGTGTTCTCAGAAAATTTAACATGGATTTCAAATATAAATAGAATGATGAATATGATGCTGAATTGCAGATAATGTACAACATTTAATATCAATACTGCTTAAATAATGATTGTCAGTCTACTACTTTGCGTAGTTTACGGTTAAGGAAGGAGTTTTACAATAAGTTGGTCAAGTATAGTTTTTCTTTCTTTTTCTCTTTTGTTCTTTATTTTGACCTTAATACAAAAAGCCTTAGTGGAAGAATTTATTCACACGGCCCCATTTGAAATGTGTCAAAGGCACCATCTCTCATGCTGTGTGCTTTGTCTAATCTGGATTTGATAAAGAATTAGAAAAGACTTGGCAGCGGGACCGGCTGACACAGAATGTGTTCATCTCAAACGAAAACCAAACAGGCAGATGCTGCGAGCTCCTGTGACATTTCCAGGGACAATGCACACAATTTACCATTTTGTCAACAAACTCACGATGGCAGCATCCCCCCTCTGTGACGGATACGTCCCCTGACTATTGCTATCACTCCTCTACTCCTTCGCCTCCCATCAATCTGTGTCATGAGTAAAAGACCTTATCAGTGCTTTTGGTGTCGCTCCAGAAAATGTACTCCGTTGCTCCCCATCTCTCAGGACTCAGGCAGCTCAATAAGAAAACACCAGCCAAACTACACCCCGCTGTGTTGGTATTATAAACCGTTTTCAGCGGCTACTGGCATGAGAACATTGTCTCCTAGTTTTAAAGTCACCACTCTGTTCCAAAAAAGCTGCCACAATTGGTATATGATCACCTGTCTGACATCACACACAAAATCTGATGACAGCTACTGCCCAAAAGCCTCAGTGTCAACAATAAAGTTGTTCTCAAAACTGCAAGAGCTACAGCACCACTTGTGACGATTATGAGGAAGATGTTCTCTATCAAAGTAAGAGCTAGTTTAACAGGGTAATCCACTTCTTGCATATCCGTAATGTTAGGAGGCTCACACGAGACAGTTTCTGTTTTAAAAAAAAAAGAAATGAAGCATCAGTGGTCGACTTGTAATTCAACACAACTAAAGTAGCTCATTTAGGCTGTTTATCTGGTGTTACTACGAGGTTCGCACTTGGGCTAACCACGTTGGAATAATTCACGATCCATCCCAAGTCAGAACAAGGGTTGTTTTTCTTGTTCTTCTCATTCTTCCGACATTGCATAAATGCTCCCAATGGCCACATAAAAAAGCTGAACCCAGGGTTCAACCCCAGTGTTATTTTCAAGGTTATTTTCTCCAACTTTAGAAAGCTAGTCCACAGCCACAAAAAAATTTACTTTCGTGTTCACGGACAAAAGAAAAAGTCCTTGGCTAAGAAAAGAAAGATCACAGTACAAATAAATTGTTTATGTCCTTCAAAATTTTTAGGATTTCGTAGGATTTTCCAATAGCGTCCGAAAGAATAAAGTGACCACATAATGTCAGCACTAATAAACATGGGATGCTTATTTATATGCTTTAAATGCTGCTAATTCATGCTCAAAAACCATAGATATGGTACATGATAATGTTTCCTGTCATATATTTCACAAGCACACCTGCATGTAAAGATATGTCACTCCTTCTTGACTTATTCATTGATTTGAAAAATCTATCACATGGGCTGTTGTACTGCTAGTATCACCAAACTTCTGCCTGCTTGTTAAGGACAACAGTGTAACCTTGGGCGATATCTCTGCAGTTTTCTAACAAAAGCAAAATCTTCCATTTGTAATTTTTCCACCTCAGAAACATCGCCTGTATGTGTTCGTTTATTTCTTTCACTGATGCTGAAGATCTCTCCATGCCTTCAGTGCGTCACGACTGGACTGTTGTAACGCCCTCCTGTTTGTCCTGCCTCACACCCACTTGTCTGACTGACTGCAGCTTTTAGCAATCTCTCCACGCCCACCACATCACCTCCACTTCAGCACAGCAGTGACTTTAACGTCTGGTTGCTGACATAAAAAGAACTCCATACTGCTCCACCCACCTCCTCCGCTCCTCTGACTTTGTCCTGCTGTCTGTCCCCAGTCCTGGCTCTCTACCATGTATGATGGAGCTCTCCTCGCTGTACTCCGCCTCCATAATTCACTATCTCCATCCATTTGTGCTGCTAGCACTATGGACTCTTTGAACGTGTCCCTCAGGGCCCATCTGTTCACACACATCCTTAAAAAGCTGCCCTCAAACCTCACTTTGTTCATTGTGGTGTGGCAAGGCATAACCTTGTCCAATTTATACAGAATTATCTACCAGCAGAATCAGGTCCTGAATAATTTAAATGTTAGGTGAAAAATATGCAGTGAAGTTGCAGAATCATGTTCCATTTTATTCAATTCAATTAAATTTTATTTGTAAAGCGCCAATTCATAACAGAAGTTATCTCAGGACACTTTTCAAATGGAGCGGGTGTAGACCGAACTCCTTATAACATTATTTACAGCGACCCAACAGTACCACCATGGGCAAGCACTTGGCGACAAGGGCAAGGAAAAACTGCCTGTTAAGAGGCAGAAACCTAGGACAGATCCTTCGGCTCTAGGTGGGTGGTCGTCTGTCTCGGCCAGTTGGGGTGAGAGAGAGAGAGAGAGAGAGAGAGAGTGAGAGAGAGAGAGACAGAGACAGACAGGTGCACAGCAACAACAGTAGCAACAACTACACCAATAGTAGTGACTGATGATGATGAACATGAAGAAGACGATGACAACGACAACAGCAACGATGGGGGACAACGAGTAGTGACAATAGTAATAATAGTAGCTATAATAATAAAAACAATAATATCAGTGATATTAGCAATGGCCGTCAAGCAGGACCATGGCAGGAGGCTCCACCAGGATCCATGAGAACCTGCAAGACGAGAAAGCACATTTTATATTCTTTCAATATTTCCTGTTGAAAGAGTACAGTGAGGGTTCTTATGTAAACCAGTAGGCTATTGAGAGCAAGGCAGTCTGATCTTAAAGTACCATCTGAAAGGATTGTTGAAAAGCTGGGGTGACTTTTATTGGTTGGACTTTTTAGTTACACACACACACACACACACACACACACACACTAGAGCAGCATGAGGTCCCTTCCAGGAAGGTTTGGGGATATTTTAATATTTATGGACCTTTCTTGATGGCGGATGTTTTGACTTGTCATAGCAAGAAAGTAGCAGAGGTGAAATAAATATTGTTAACAATGGCTCAGTTCCATAAAGTGTCCCGGTGAGCCAGTATTGCACAATAAAACTAGCTCACCTCAATGGAGTGCAGTTATTTTTAGTGTTACCAATTACAACTGAGCTTAAAGGTGCAGTGTGTAACATTTTGGAGGATCTATTCGCAGAAATTAAATATAATATTCACAGGTATGTTTTCATTAGTGTATAATCACCTGAATATAAGAATTGTTTTGTTTTCATTACCTTAGAATGACCCGGTTTTATCTATAGACGCTTCCATGGCCTCTGCCATGTTGTTGTTTCTACAGTAGCCCAGAACAGACAAACCAAACACTGGCTGTAGATAGGGCATTTTGCAAGTTTCGTGGCCACTATAGTTTCTCCTACACACTTCACGGCCCGTTCTCATTCCCAGCTCGTCAAATACAGACTTGACCGTTCAATCTGAAAATTCAACGCCACTAAATCGTACACAATGGTCCTTTTAAAATTAGCTTAAAAGTAAAGTAAAAGTCAACACAGGCTTGATGTTCACTGTGACGGATTACATAATTACCAACGACTGTACAAGTAGTAAAAATACACCAAAAAACTTGTGTTCTAAAAAATTGGAAAGTATACATGGTTTGTTGTAAAGGACACCTGAAAACACACTGGTATTGTCCTTCATTGCTTATAGTCTGATCCAACTTTTTCCCCGAAATTAATTCTGATACCTTAACTCAAGTACCCATCCAATATGGTTGCTCTCTGTTTCCCAAAAATTTAAATTTCATGTTTGGTATGGTTTGGTTGATAGCAGTCAGCTTAATAAGATTTGCATCAACCCTGATACCTATTTATTATTCTTACATTTAGACCCTTTGTATGTATGCTCAAAGAAATTTATTAAAACTCCAACAGCAACTATTACCACTAATAATTCTTAAAATAATGTAAACAGTACTAAACCAACTCGTGTAAATCTGCACGACTATCTGATACTTTCTTCTGTCATTTTCATGAGTCTCCTCAACACTCACATCCGCAGCTGCCACATTAGCCTGGTTCTCCTCAGTCTGCCTCCCACTGCATGCAGCCTGTCACCCTGACACCACTGAGTGTATGTGGCATTGTCACCTCGATGTCATGTCCTACTTCTTCGCTGTCACTCAGCGCCACTACCCATCCACCGGCCCGTCTGGCACGCAGCAGCTCCTGCTCTTCCTAATGCAGTTCAGACACAAGCAGGATTCAATTTTTTATGCATTTGGGAAACTATAATTCCTTTTTGAATGAAGGAAATCAGGAGAAATCTGCACTGCTCATCACAACATCGCTAATAATCGTGATTATGTTTCAGGGTGGAATGGGAAACCTTCAGTTGAGCGAGGATGGTATTCGCCTGGAGGGAATCTCTGAGTTTGTTCTGCCTCTCTACGTGAATGAGATCCAGTCCAGAAGGGTAAGTTGCTCCCTTTGCTCTTCTCAACAACTTCAACTCGCCTATCGATCAATACTCTGTAGCACTGATGAACTAGGAATAACTACCATCGACAGAAATGCATGTGAAAAGCTCTCACATGGAAAGCTGCAAAGCTGCAGACAGGCTGGTATTGATCTCACAGTGTAGAGGAAGTTATGATCAATTCATTAACAACAAAGGCCAACTTCCCTCTGAGCTCTGGCTTGACGGTACTTTGATGTTACCTTATGTTTGTGCCTGGATAGGAGAGATTACACTCTTTCTCTCTCTGTCCTGTGCTCCTCTACTCCTCCTCCTCCTCCTCCTCCTCCTCATTTCCTGTCATCCTCCAACAGTGCACTATCAGGGCCTCCCATCGGCAGGAGATGGGTAATAGGCTGCCTCGCGGCTCCTCTCAAGCCACATACGACCCAACAGGAGATTACAGGCGATTACAGAGGGACCAGAGTCCCCCCGCTGGATTTCCAATCAAGCCCACACGATAAATTCCCCTCTTCCACTTCCTCCCTCCCCTTTCTCCTCTTTGATGTTCAGTAGATTAACCAACACAGCTCCAGTAGAAAGTTGATCCAAATTTCCTTCTCCCACACGAATCACAGACGCTCAGTTGGATCATCCCCTTTTTCAGTGATTAGGCATGGTGCAGAAAGCAATTTCAAGCACTGGAAGCTGGGGTTCCATGTAAATTTGATTTTTTTGAGGGACGTCGATGGAGGAAGTGGCTCGATAGTGGGTACAATTTGCCACAGCAGATTGAGAAACAACTCGGAATTGCCCACTCTTGCCCTTTGATGTTTTAGTTGGAGCTAAATGTTGATTTAAATATAAGAGTCACATGCTTAGCAATAGCAAACGCCTCAAGGCCATAGCAGACGCCCAAGCCGAACATTGGACAAAGCCAATATTTCATTCCCTGGTGCAATACCACCTGCAGACATTTTTACTGTCTTGTTTTACAGACATGCTGTGCAGTGGCCCCCTTATCTACCGGTACCAGAGATATTTGCAGGACAAAAATCTCTGTGGGTCACTCAATATTTCTCACCTGAGGAAATATGTCAAGCACTGCGAGAGCGGGGATTATGGTTATCCAATGAGTTTACACCACGGTGCACAGTGCTGTTCTTCAGTCAGATAACCACCATTGATCAATAAGCCATTACCACAAACAGCAGTGACCTCTGTAGTGCCACAGATATTTTACAGTTAAATATAGTATGATTTTGTTTTTATGTTCACGTCCAATCTGCTGTCGAGGCTGAACTCAAAGTAGCTTTAGTTTTACTTCTCATGGATCAATTGGTGCTTTGAATCTTTCCTCATCAATGACTGAAGCCAAAATCTGTGAATACCAAGTGGAAATTGCTCTCTGAGTGTTTCTGGCAGGAACTCTGATAGCTGGCAGCAAATTACAGGCTAAGTAGCCCCTTAAACCAGCGGTCTCTAAATGAGAGCTGGTAACTTTGCACATACGGTTTACACTGCTTGCAATCATTGCCAGACTCCAAAAAAACGTGCATACAACAAATGTGTCCTGTTTTGCAGATACTTTTACAGGTCAAAATATATAATTATGCAGATTCTGTCTGATACAGGCAGCGCCCTCAAAGAAGCTTATTTAAGAACAGTGGAACACTTAGTAAACTTCTGCAATCGCATTATATTATTATTATTTAATTGATATTTGGAGGCTTCTGTACCCTACAAAAAAACCAGGCCACTCTTTATTTGTGCTGGTTTTTCTTTTGTGGTGCACATGTTTTTATGTATGTCTAATTTGCAGGCACATTCTTTATTACAGACCAATATTGTACTTATATTTGGCAATAATTCTGTATTTTCTGTTCAATACAACGTTATATATATAAGTATATATATATATACTTATATATCGCAACAGGGAGCAATTGTAGGCAGCCGTTCATCAACCAGGTCAACAAATGGACACACAATAAAGAGGGGAACAAAGAAAAGACACTGAATCACACCTGTGGACAAAAGTGCAAGTTTTTCCACCCACTCGTTTTATTGATTTCAAGGGGAATCTGACTGAATCAAAGCCGGTAGCAGGCATTAATGACTATATACAAATAGCCAATCTTCTCACTGATGGTATGGTGTGCTTATGTAGGTCATGTAGAGGCATCAGTATTAAATTGAGACTTTCATAACCAGTTAAAAGCTCCTTGTAGTAGGTTGAGTAAAGCTATGTAGTGAAATTGTATTGCAATGTGTCTCATTTCTCATTTTATAACATTGTGCTTAGCATGTTTCAGCTAATTACAATAACATTACTGCTTTGTTTCACAGTCACCACCCTCATCTGCTTAATTTCCAGTGGCAGCAGTCAGTTGTTGTTGTTGTTTTTAGGCAAAAACTTAATAAACAACCTGTATGCTACATTCCCAACACTGAACAGCAGACAAAGTTATGGACTAGCTGGTGAACATAATTGAGCATTTAGTGGCTAAAAAACCCGATTATTTCATTCAGGAGTTGATAGAGACCAAAGTAGACTTAAGTAGAGAATGGACATTTGACTTAAAATTACAGAGTAACTGGAAACATGATTCTATAAGTTACTCAATATCTGCTTCATAACAATGTAAATAGACTGTTTGCTAACAAGTTTGTCTCTGTCAACAATATAAGGTCAATTATGTCAATATGTTTACAACTTATACTATACGACTATATTCTTCATTATATAATTTATGTATTTTCCACACTATCGTGGCAAAGTACAGGCTCTACTGCTTTAGTGTTGATGCTTCACATTTCCTGCCTGCTGTGCACTGCAGAGTGTGAACCCAGGCGGTCACAACTGCCTCTCCAAACCTCTGATTTGGTAACAGTGTGCCTCTGGCAGGTGAAATTTCAAGTGCAGAGTTGATTTCAAGCACTTAAAAATTAGAGCCCCATTGTTGCTTACACTTGTGAAATGATGGGCATTGTGTGGCACTCCTGCTTGAAAGTTCAAGTGTAAATTGGACGACAGACACTCAATGTTATGATTGTTTGAATATGTGTGACTAATGTTGGTCTCTTTTTACAGCAGCTTTCAGTTATTCCTCTGCTGAGCTGTCTGTCAAATCTGACAGATGGATGGATGGAATATTCCGTATATTATTTTTCTTCGCCCTGGGGGCTTCCCCTATGCATGTCTGTCAGTCCGTCTATCCATCCATTCATCCATCCGTCTGTCAGCTTTTACAGATGGTACAGCACGCACAAACACACTCGGGATTTAATGGCAAAAAGAGGCCAATAATGGGGCCCATGAAAAAGATTCAGCGGAACGAACTTAATATCAAATGTTTGAAATCCAGCTTACACTTAAAATTTCAAGCAGATAATTTCCACACGACAGCTCCACCTACACCTGTGAAAGCCACAATACTACTATAATTTCAGGCTTGTGAAATCAGTTCAACACTTGAAATTTCACCCGCCTGAAAGCAACAAAGCGGGTATAATTTCAGGCTTAAAATCTGTGTCCGACTTGAAATTATGGATGCAATGTTCCTCTGGCAGGTGAAATTTCAAGTGTTTGTGAAACGAAATGTTTGGGCAGGCATTTCTTTACCCACTTTCACTTTCCTTCCACAGAAACTTCAAACAGGGTGGATCAAGTAATGCTTATTCAATTACAAATATGTTGTTTTTGAGCCTTTAGTGAGGCTGTAGAACATTTTGGTTTCTGGCAACAGTGGAGTAATGGCTATTTATTGGCCAAAGCTTCAGATGCTCTAGAACATTAAAATTTTACATTTCTATCCACTTAGATACGTCACTACACTTACTACTGTTCAGTTTTGTTTTGCGTTCCAGCTTTCAACTTTTTATTGTCATTTTGTCTATTTTCAAGTTTTATTTTTACCACTAAGTGTTGTTTTTTTAACACAGACTATGTGTCTGTTTTGTTCAAGAGTAAAATGCAAGAGAAATTGTTTCTTTTTGCAAAAGTCATATTTTACTCGCTAATGCATTGTTTTGATTTCTGGTAGATTTGCACAATGCACAAATGAGGCATGGGTCTTGGGTATAATGATTTGTCTTGGAATAGCTTCTGTTCACATGCATTAGGGTAATCATGTCTGCTGCTACATTAGGACAACGGAGGTAAAATTAGATTCGATGAGTAGCAGTGATACATATTTAGGAGATTGGTCAGTCCACTCAGATTTGTTGTTTTTAGTGTTTTCTAAATTGATGTATTTAGTGAATTCTACTCATGGACCACTGAGTATTTTATTGATGTTAATAATTACGGGAGCTGATTTGACTGATTAGTTCCTCCTCTCTGCTTGAATGTGTTCAGAGAAAGAAAATCAGCCACTCAAGTGTTTAGCCTGCAGCCTTTGAAGTGTACTGTATCTGGACACGTGACCAGTTACAATCTGTTGCTTTATTAAAGAACATAAGGGGGTTTCCGGTTTGCTTTTGTATTGAGTACATATGTTTTGGGGGAGCTCAACCTCAACTTCACCTTTTACCTCACCAAAAAGAGATTACATTTAATTTCCCTGTGTCTGAAATGACTTATACAGGGCGGCTGTGGCTCGGATGCAGAGTGGGTCGTCCACTAATCGCAAAGGTTGTTGGTACAATCCCCGGCTCCTATCGCCATGTGTTGAAGTGTCCTTAAAGGAAGACACTGAACATCAAATTGCTCCCGATGCTGTGCATTGGTGTGTGAATGTGTATGAATGCGTTAGTTTCTGTTCGATGGGCTTTGCCATCACTGAGTGAATGTGTTTGAAAGGGCAAATGTGGCATGTAGTGTAAAAAAAGCTTTCAGTGGTTGGAAGACTAGAAAGACGCTATACAAGTACAGGTCCATTTACCATTTATAATGTTCTAAAAATAAATAAATAAAAAACAGATAAAGGAAAGAGACAAGAAAGAAGAAAATTCCAGTGAGAACTAGAAACTAAATTTAATGCTTCCAGTGCCCTGCTTCCAGTGCCCTGATTCCA